ATCGTGCCCTAGTCACTCTCTGCTCCGGCCCCCTAACGTGCCCTAGTCACTCTCTGCTCCGGCCCCCTATCATGCCCCAGTCACTCTCTCTTCCCCGGCCCCCTATCGTGCCCCAGTCACTCTTTCTGCCCCGGCCCCTTATCGTGCCCCAGTCACTCTCTGCCTCGGCCCCCTATCGTGCCCAAGTCACTCTCTCTGCCCCGGCCCCCTGTCCTGCACCAGCTCTTTGCTTCAACCCTAGGACATACTTCAGTTACTCTCTGCTTCAGCCCTTTACATTCCTCATAGCCAGAGCTCCTATTCATACGTCCCCTGCACTCCTTCGAGCCAGAGCTCCTACCCGTACGTCCCCTGCACTCCTAGCCAGAGCTCCTACCCATAGATCCCCTACCCTCCTTCTAGCCAGATCGCCTACCCATACGTCCCGTTCCCTCCTAGCCAGACCCCTCGCAGAGTACTTCCCCTACACTCCTTGCCAGAGCTCCTACCCATACGTCCCCTACACTGTTTCTAGCCACAGCTCCTACCCATACGTCCCCTACACTGTTTCTAGACACAGCTCCTACCCATACGTCCCCTACACAGTTTCTAGCCACAGCTCCTACCCATACGTCCCCTACACTCCTTATAGCCACAGCTCCTACCCATACGTCCCCTACACTCCTTAAGGCCACAGCTCCTACCCATACATCCCGTAGACTCCTTCTTGCCAGAGCTCCTACCCATACGTCCCCTACACTGTTTCTAGCCACAGCTCCTACCCATACGTCCCCTACACTCCTTCTAGCCACAGCTCCTACCCATAGGTCCCCTACACTCCTTCTAGCCACAGCTCCTACCCATACGTCCCCTACACTCCTTCTAGCCACAACTCCTACCCATACGTCCCCTACACTCCTTATAGCCACAGCTCCTACCCATACGTCCCCTACACTCCTTATAGCCACAGCTTCTACCCATACGTCCCCTACACTCCTTATAGCCACAGCTCCTACCCATACGTCCCATCCCTACACTCCTTATAGCCACAGCTCCTACCCATGCGTCCCCTACACTCCTTCTAGCCAGAGAGCATACCCATACGTCCCCTACACTCCTTCTAGCCACAGCTCCTACTCATGCGTCCCCTACACTCCTTCTAGCCACAGCTCCTACCCATGCGTCCCCTACACTCCTTCTAGCCACAGCTCCTACCCATGCGTCCCCTACACTCCTTCTAGCCAGAGAGCATACCCATACGTCTCCTACACTCCTTCTAGCCAGAGCACCTAGCCATAGCTCCTACTCCTCATAGACAGAGCTCCTACCCATACCATCCACTACTCTCCTCCTAGACAGAGCGTCTTATTATGTCTGCTCTCTCAATTTTTATTTCACTTCATCCCTCGCCTTATCTGATTATCCATGTGCCCTTTTATTTATGGTGCATTAAAACAAAGCATTTTCTCATTTTGTTCTTCTAGATATGTTCCTTATGCAATGCCACCGAAGATGGACGCCGTACATGGACCTAACAATGATTTAACTGCTTTGTATGGCTATGGACTCTATGATTATGGAGAACGCAGAGGATTTCATCCCCAGGTTCATTACCAGACACTTGAAGTGGAGAGCAGTGGTTCTTTAACAAATCTCTGACCTCATAAGAGCGTCCAGTGCCATACTCATCTCAGGAGAAGAGCCAGGCTGTTTTGACAGTGCCTTATGATGAACTGCCCATCCTATGGTCATTGCTGGAGGATAAGCAGACTCTTTATGGAACACAGATTTAAGAAGATGACTTCTCAGATATTTGGCCATTCTGCTAAGAAATCTGTCCTTTGACTGTTAAATGACTTTAATTCATTCTTATATAGTCCCCTCTAATGGCTAAAGTCTACAAGTTTCCACCATTTTACTACACAAGCCAATGAGCTCTTTCCCAGTGGTGTAACTCCTG